AGCATTTGTAAAATGTGTTTTATGTGCAGTTTGTACAGCATGCATTTGTGAACAGCATGACACACACACACACACACACACACACACACACACAAATGGCTTTATACGTGCAGATTGCGCAGCACGCATTTGTGATCCTCATGACACACACACACACAAATCGTTTGTTACAGACAAAACGTTAAACACGCATTTGTAACATTTTTGATAGTATTTTGTCTCCATACATATGACTCCCCAGGACAGAGCTGGACTGCCTGCAGCTTCTTCTAATGTTTATTTGCCTTTGTTATATAATTGCTGTGACCATCACATAGCAGGATCCATGCGCAGGTCTCCAAATTCAGTGGCTGTGCGCAATTGTCGCAAATGGCACAACAAGGTAACTTCATTATTATGCAAATCCTCTGTATCAATACGGTAGACTAGAGGCTTTTCTGCACAGCAAACAGGCAGCTGTTGCACGCAGATTCACAGTTTACACAGTGTTCAGGATGAACCAAAGCTGTCCTAGATTTTTATTTTCAGCAGAAGGCCAAATATCGTTTCCTGTGATGAATCACAATTTTCACCACGTTGATTATTACAGTGAGTTTTTGCTTCATGAATACGATCATATTTGCAGCAGTGGCATCACTGCCAGCGTGCAACTTATCCATTCACTTAAGTAAATAAAAACTGGCTAGTAGTAATAATAATGAAAACACCATTTGTTGTACTCAGCCTATACTGTATGTTACCTGAGACAGTGTTGCTCCAGTGCAAGGCTATGTCTTAACACACCCACATAATGCCAGAACACACATGTGGCTGAAAACAGAATTAATCATTTCAAGACTTTAGTGTAACTCGTTGGTCCTGTTAATGTAATGTGTGTATGATAATCAAATGCATGTATGACAAGGTTAAGGGAGTGAAAAACAGTTGGGTTATGTCAGTGGAAGTCAGCACAACACTACTTAACAACTCTGTCCCTGAACAACTGTGTGTTTGTATTCATAAATGTCAAAATCAAGAAATATCAGCCATGAGATATGTAATTGTCTGATATTCACTGACATATTCAGATGATGAATAGATACTCTTTTAACCATGTTGTTTAGTTATTTTTTTTCACTACTTCTGATCATTCATTTCATTTGGTATTTTATAACCCTTGCTTAGTTTCTCTCTCCAGGATATCTGCCACTGTGTCTGCACTCCCTCTGAACAACTCAGCTGCTAGGTTATTGTATTATGTAACTGTGGTGAACAACACACACACAGAGGATGATTCACATCCAGCAATGACTGGAGCTTCAAGTAATAAATGCTGATCACTGAAGGCAGAGATTCTAACGTTTCCCGCTGAGTGAAAAGAAACGAATTTTCTGAATCAAACAGCAATTAAAAAAGGAAAAAAACTGTTTTACTCTTCAGATGATTAAAAAAAAAAATCTCCACACACAGCTTTTAGGCAGGGAGGAGGGTATTGTCAAAGATCCCCATGATATCCTTTAATTCTAGACAGGAGGTCACCTGAGTCGGTGTTGACAAGTGTGGGAACAAACGTACAAGCATCAGTTTCCATAAACTATATTATAGAAAAACAGGTGCAGTAGCACCTGTGTACCATCTTCTAAAGAATACATTTTGATGTATCACAGCAATAGGCCTTTATCACAACAGACATTTTGACATGTCACGGTAGGAAATGCACAGGTGTAAATAGCAAAACGATCAAATAAAATGTGGAGATGTGACCATTAATTCTCAGTAGTAGAAAGTAACTAAGTGTATTTACACAAGTGCAATAGTTTTGAGGACCTTGTATTTCACTTATGTCCATTTCCTGCTACTTTCTACTTCAGCACATGGAAACATTGTACCTTTCACTCCACAGCATTTTTGAGTTATAGACATTTGATCAGTGTATAAGATGACACACTGCTTTACTATATATAAAAACAGCTCCATCTTGACCAATTACAACAGTACAATATTAGCTAAAATTGCAACAGTAATAATACAATAATATATCTATTGCAACACTACAACAATCACAGAGGCCACTGTTCTGCATCTGAGTATCTTTATTTTTGATACTTCAAGTACATTTTGTTATTAATAGTTACACAATTTAAATTAAAGAACATGTTTAATGCAGCACTTCTGTTTGCAGTGGAGTATTTGGACAGTGTCGTATTGTGATTACCTACCATTTGCTTATTGTTGTTTTGCCTCAGTGAGATTTATGCAACTCTGTGCAGCTGGTGTAGCAGTTTGGAGGGTAATGGTGATACAGATTTGAGGTTTTCCTGAGAGTCCATTTTCATCTCCTAAGTGTGTCACTTGAACTCTTCCTCAGATCTAATATTTCCAAATTGTCTTCTCTGTAGTTTTGAGTCTCTGTGACAGTGAGAGATGAAATAACTGGACAGACATTGATGAAAATCAAATCTAAGGTTATCTCCTGACATAATCCTGATGCATAAAATAACAGTTTTGAATGTACATTTTTGATACAAGCTTTAATATTTTTCAGTTTCACAAAAAAAATAAGATGCAAACTTTATACTACTCAGCCAGTTTGCTATTGTCTCTGCCTGAAATGACGTTTATGAAGTTCATTCATGTGTATCTAGCAATGTAACTATGTTATTTCCTCTTGCACATAAAGCAGGCCTGAATATATTTTTGGTCTGCAATCAATAAATGCTCATCACAGCTCTCAAAGCAAAGACAAAATCCATAGTGCTGCTCTGAGTGGGTGCACAGTCACACGGCCCACACCTACAACACAACGAGGAGATGGAACACAGGCGGAAATGCAGCACATTGGAAAATAACTTTAATAAAACTCCTATGAAAACAAAAGCCAGCAAAACAATAAAAGCCTGTACACTTGACAATATCCAGTGTCTGAGACATTTGAAGGCTAGTGGTGCAAAATACAGCTCCATCACACAGACAGAAAGAATACATCTTTATAGGCTTCAGCCTGGGCCCAAGGTTGTATATAATATATAAGATATATACTCAGATATTGCACAAATATCAAACACAGATGCAAATGCTGGAGGAGCACCGTACGTTGAAATGAGGAAGTGGCTTTGCGTCGCAGCGTAGCGTCCCTACTGAGAAACGCCGCCCATACAGGTCCCAGACTCCGTCGACACTGGTTCGTATAAAAACAAATATACTTAGAGAGTGGCAGATATTTGCCCATTCAGTTCAGAAACATAGTTAAAAACACAGTATAAACAATACAATTACCAAACATTTGCCTTTTGTTTTGGTCCGAACATGTTAAAAGCATCAGTTATTTCTCTTGAGTGGGACTGAGCTTTAAAAGGCTGACATCCTTGTAGACTCTAAGACATATGGGGTAATAATAACTCACAGATTGAAGCATTTTGTCCAGTAATGCTCTTGATTTGAGAATTTTGACAAAAAAAAGGAGTACATTGTCATTTCAAAGTAAAAAAATCTAAAAAAAAAAGTGTTTAGTTTATTACAAGACCATTTCAGTTGTTTCATGTATGTTTCTCTAAGCAAATTCCAGTGTTTGATGTCCCACATGAACTGAGATTGAAGCACTGAACCAAACGCCTCAAGGCTTGTTTTCTCAGTTCTTCTCTTACGTCATTATTTCCCCTCACATTTTCTTTGTGGATTAGTAAAGTAGCCTGGCACATAAAAGTGTCATGATAAATTCGTAAATGGCAAAAAAATAAAAAATAAAACTGATTAAAAAAACAAAAATTACAATCTTCCCATAGTTTTCAGGCACACTTTGAGGCAGCAGGAGTGAGACTGTTAAGATGCACCTCCTGTGGGTGTTGTGCACATTGTGTTAAGACATCAGGGTCAGATGTTTCTGTCTTTGACTCCACTGTTTCCACACCCATCCTTTATGCTTCTCCAAAGCAGTTCGAGCACGTGATAAACAATGTGCCCCTACGGAGTCCAAAGAAGCCGAGTTTAAAGTCTGTCACACAAAATTCATAGTCTCCAAAATATGATCCTTGTTTTCAGCTCGTTCCAAAGGGACTGTTCACCTTTAGTGTGGGGAGAGTGGGTGCCTCCGTTCCCCTGTGACAACACTGCCCACCATGATTCCACAGAAACCTCAAAAGGTCGTGTTTTTAGACTTCCATGAGGCACCGTGTCAGAGTGATGCAAGGTGAGGAGGGATACAGCAAGTGAGTGTGCAGGGTAACTGGACTGTTTCAGAGAGTAGCTTCACTCTCTAAATACACGTGGGCTGTGAATCTGCTCATGCTTTGGATATTCTACATTCCCTTCTTTCAGTATTCGGAGGTGAATGTAATCCTGCTTCCCTGGCACACCTTTCTCCTCCCACCCACTCGTTCACTGTGTCCTACTGGCCCCTGACTCCTGGCCTCAGAGGGGTCACAGCTGCTCTAGGAGCGGTTGTCTTTGGCCACATTATGGGCCATCCAGTTGACTTTGGTTGTCCAGCTCTCTCTCAGGGCCTCGTCAAACTTCTGGCGGAACTGCTTCAGCGCCTCGTCATCCGTTTTACCCAGGGCTAGAGAATCCTGAGGAAGGAAGGATAGTAAGGTGAGGGATAAGTCAGGAGGAAGCTGACAACAACTGAACATGATGAGAAATTTTAGATGCATTTATACAGTATTTCCCCAGCATTAATGTTGATTATTTGAAAAGACAGTTGTAGATAAAGTGTTATAGACACGTATGTCCAGTTATGGCCATTATAAATTCTTTTTTGCTGTACAAAAGTCATTTTAAACCAGATTATAACCAGGATATCATCTGACTGACGTACATAGATATTTTATACAAAGGAAGTGGGTATTTTGTTAAATGTGTGTGGAATACCTTTAAGTACTGGATGTCTTTGACTGAGGTGAGCTCAGGCAGTCCAGCAGTCAGCATGAGGGCAAACAGTGTGATGAACAGGTTCCCGTTCTTCCGCAAGATTAGATAGGCCTCCTCACAGTACTGACGGAAACTAAAGAGACAAACAAACCTAACTGGTTATTTTTTTTACATAGAGTACAGTGTCCACACTTATTAGAATTCTCATCTTTTTTTAACAATTCAACAATTTTTCTGTAGTAAAACAACATATTCAAAAACTGAATTAACACAAAGTACAGCTGCATTATTTTTATTTTTATGCCAAGTCTCTTGACACGTAAGATCAGACCAATATCTTGCAAGGAGCACCCAAACCTGCACTACATAATTACAATGTGCATGTTGCCTTATTGTTTCTCTTCTGGTCTTATCACAAACTGGTTAAATAGTTCTTATATAAACAGCTTAGTTGTAACTGAATTACAAACTTACATTTTAGAATTTCCATTATTCTTTAAATAGTTTAATCTACATATACTGAACATTTAATATATCAATCTATACAGAAGTACTTCAAGAATTGTTGCACCAGGGTAATTCCACCTTCACAAAACGATGTGTACGTGAACTTCATCTGACCTAGTACAACATGCACTGTCTCGAACCCACACATACCGTATTTGCTGATGCAGCACTGCTGTGCTTCCATTTTACAGATAAAGTATTTTTGAGAATATTTCTGAATTATAGTAACTCAGGAAGCAACACTTAAGAATGTAGGTCATAAAAACAGATTAACGAACGGGTATTTCCACCATCACAAACTCATTTGTCACTTGTTTCACTGCAGATCTCTATTTGGTAAACAATGTGGCAGTGCCTCTACATGAAGCCTATGCAGTTCCCACTTATGTATGCAATGTTTCAGCAACATGGCCAAACAAAACAACAACAAAGATTTATTTATGGATGCAGAGACGTGACTGAAGCTGGGCAGACTTTGCTTTGTAAATTAAAAAAGCCTGTCTAGATTTGCAGTATACATACTACCTTTAGCACTTGAATGTTTCAAAGAAGTATCTGTTTGACCAGAGAAAAGGTTGGTGGTAATGGGAGCAAGAAAGAAACATTCCCTCTTTCAAGTAAACTGATTTTATTACCTACACAATTATAGACTTTTAGTTTAACTTAACTATAGTTTGATTTTAACCTCTGGGAAACTTGGCATGAAGTTCACCAGTGCTTGATCTTCTACTGCCATCTGCTGGTGGGAAAAAATACTGCATCATCATACCTGCCATAGACTGTGTGCCTCTGATTGTCTTTTCTATTCACTACTGCCAGTGCTGACTGACTGTACTATATGCTGGTTTGCTGTTATGTCCTCAGGAGGCTCCTTCATGGTTCAAACAAAGATATCTATGCAAATCCAACAAGCTGATCATTCTGTTCCATACAATTCTGAGTGAGAGGCCTATCTATCATCAGCCTAGTTGAAATGAATGATCAAAGGTAGCAGTTTTAATTTGGCTATGCTTCCTAATGAGTTGATTCCAGGCAGATTTCCAGCAGGATATGCATACATATATGTATGAAGATGAAGAGAGAGTGGAACAAACCTGCCAAACTTTTCAGTGTATCCTGTCTTTCCCTGCTGTATGACATGGATGAAGTCATGTGTGAGGATAAACGGTACACGCTCCCTCTTGATGCCAAATTTGGACTTAAAGTTGCCCAGGATGTGGCCGAAGTCTATGTGGAAGAGCTGATGGACAAGAGGGTCGATCAGTGAACAGTGGAATCAGAAAAAGCAAAAAAACAAAAACCCAGATGAACACTGGATAATTTATACAGATAAAACACAATGTCTACCAAACCTGTCCAGTACTGCGGACCATGATGTTGTCACTGTGCCGGTCTGCGATGCCCAGGACGTAGGTGGCTACACAGTAGCCTGCACAAGACAGAGTGAACTCCTCGATGGCCCGATCAAGAGCATCACTGTCAATACATAATATACATAAACATGTAAGTGCATTTTTTCTGAATTCTTTTCTAAGCAAGCCTAAGTGGTTACTGCCACCTGTAACATCTTACCCAGAGTTTCTCTCTTTGAGCCAGTTGAGCAACGCATCCTTGTTAAAGGCAGCAGCTGCTGCCACGTTGCTGCTTGTCAGCTGGATGTTGGCAATTGTGTCTGCAGATGAGACTACCTCAATCAGCCCTGTCCGGTCACCTGTTGCTAGGCAACCATAGGGTACGATTCTGCAGGATAAGTATAAAAAGATAAGTACTCTAATTATCAGATATAGTAGTAACCAATACCCGATTGTCATATTTATTTCAAAATACAAATGAAAGCACTTGTTAAAAACAAGAGTCAAACAAGACCCAAATCTTATACATCAAGACAGCCATGACCCAATGCGCAAAGCAGCCTCAGTTTCTAGATTTTATTAACAGTTTGACAGAGGCTTAAGGGAAGCCAAATGGCTTTGAGGAGTTTCTTTCTCGACTTAATGGGTGTTAAGTAAATGAGAACAAAACAGACAGCTGGCAAGTAAGATTACATGTAGTAAAATATACCAGATCACAATGGTTTCATTACATTGTCCCTGCCTTCATTCACAGTGTCCCCCCTCAATGTGTTTGAGCTATGAACCTCTGTCCCTGTAATCTGAAGCACCGTCCTCAACCTCAACTGTCAAAACAATCCTCTCCACTGCTCAGCTCCAGATGTGTCAGTGTATGATGAAGGGGAAAAGTCCAAAAGTGTGGATTTGATTAGGTTGTAATGCAGATATTGTATGTGTGTGTGTGTGTGTGTGTGTGTGTGTGTGTGTGTGTGTGTGTGTGTGTGTGTGTGTGTGTGTGTGTATATATATATGGATGGATGTTTAGGTTGTAAAAGGGTTGGAGGTCAAACTAGCATGGGGTAATTTAGTGTCTCCCCTCTTCTGCTGCACCCCACCAGAGCTTCCCAGTTCCTACAGAGAGCAGGAACAAACAAGCCTAGGGTTGCCAAATTCATGTGGAAAAAACAAAGGAGACAGACCCACAGTAGGCCGCAGCCTGCCTGACAGAGGCTGCCTTCATCCATCTGACCTCTCAGCTATTTGAAATTGGTTTATTTTTCCTAAATATAGAAATATTCTGATGCTTTCACCATTGTAGATACTAAATGTATGCATTAAAAATATGCACAAAAACATGAGACAACTTGTGTTCAGCATTGAGTAATACAGGAAAGTGCATTTTATGTAAAACTTTACCTGAGGTCTAGATTTGCCTCCTTCCATAGTGAATCCATCAACCTCAAAATCTGGAGGGTCAACATGTCTTGCCTTAGGTCTAGAAGAATAAAGTAAGTGAGGAGGGAAAGCGAAAAGTTGTGTTAATTTCAACAGGAAATAGTTATTTACTTAGGAGATGGAAAGTGATTTCATTCCTTCCTCGTGACCTCACAGTATCATTTCCCCTCCACCTCCCACCCTCTTTTCTCTTTCATGTCCTCCCTTCCAAAGCTCTGTGTTCCTCCTACCGTCTCCATTCTTGAAGATGATTCCCAGGGTGTCTCCTCCCAGCAGTTTGTTGTTGTAAACAATCCAGAGTGGCTTCATCTTCGAGTCCATGTACCGACACCTCTCCACACTGAAGGGACAGACAGGGAATGAAGCAGAGCAAACTATAGGAGAACAAACATGATCTAAAGCTTAGGCCTATGATCAGTATAAAAATTCTCATGCACTCTCATATAAACAGTAGTGTTGTCTTACTTGATTCCAGACAGCAGGACAAGGGGATTTAGAGGGGAGTGCAGGTCTGACAGAGTCTCTGAGTAGCCACTCTGCCTCAAACAGGTCATCATGGCCTCCTTGGTCAGCATTGCTTCCTTGGTCTTACTCCGAGCATTCTTGATGGTTCCCAGCTTAATTAGCTCATTGACTGACTTTAGCTTATTCAGGGCTTCCACCTGTTACAGTCAAAAGATGGACATTGGAACAATATTTTACCATTTGAATTATTCATCCCTGTTACTGACAAATGAGGTCAATGTCTTTAAACAGACAATGTCAGCACTGCAATCCTGAGCCGGTGCTCATGCTCTTCAAAACAGGAAAGTGGGCAGATAAATGACTGTGCTGATGAGGAAGTGTCCAGCAGAGTGACTGTCAAAACCACAACTGGAGAGGGCAAAGGTCAGAGGGCAGGGGGTTGACGTTATTCTTGTGACAGGCTAAAAATACCACAAATGTAGCCCTGCCAGGGTTGACATTAGATAACAACTATTCCGGTCTCATAGTAAGGAGTAACAGAGTCAAAGACTGAAGCTATGCATAATTTAAGTGATTCCTGCAAATGTATCTCATACAGTGAGGGAAATTCTCGCACACATTTGCAATGGTGTTGCGCCTTTTTACCTGCCGATGTTACAAAGCGTCAACTTGAAGTTGCTACTTGGACAGCAGCATTGACAAGTTCATTTCAGAGCTCGGTCCTCACTCAGAGCAATTATTTCAAGTTATCAAGTGGAAGGTGGAGGAGACAGAGGACAGGGGAATAATAGAGCATGATGACAAGAGAAAATGGCGCCATCAAAAGAAAGACTGAGGACACTGATGCAGTTCAAGAGATGAGAAAGAGAAAGAGACAAATTACAGCAATGATTCGGAGAACTCCTTAAATAGGAGCAGACTGATGAAATGCACTTTCAGATAGGAAGAGGACAAGGTAAGATCTGCAGATAAGCTCACAAGTATCCCCTCGAACCTATAAACAGTCAGAACATGTGTACATGACAGAAGAAATACAACAGATTGTGTGTGTGTGGCTTACTTGTTTCTTTAGAACCTCAATATGAGGGATGTTGCATCTGCAGTAGGCTTCTAGGATGAGGGCAAACTGGACTGAAACAGCTGGCATGTGGATCTCTGACCTGTAGAGGGCAGCAGAGAGGAGCCACAATCCAAAGAAAAACATTTGAAGACTTTACTGTTGCTGTTCAAGTGCAAAACTATTTCTTTCACTTTCTCCTAAATGTACAAGTGCTGTAGATGTATGTGCATGTGTACACACAACCACATGTCTGTACACACCTTAGATGCCAGAATAGGAAGTGTCCTATCTTGCGGTTCCTCTGGGCACGCTCCAGCAGGAAGTGAGTGAGGGCGCAGTCATAGTAGGGTTCATAACGCAACACCTGCACCAACTGTAGCAAGTACTGCGACAGCTCTTCATCACTGGTGAGAGGGAGGCAGGAATAGAGCCAGAAGAATGAGAGGAGGCTTTCTGCCAGACTCTTGTATAATTTTTTTCATTTTCCACTTTCACTTTCATCTTTCAATTTTTTTTTACTTTTAAATGATCACAGACTCAAAAAAATGGTCTTGCCTTTGGTCGTCAAGAGAAGATCTAACAAACCACAGTATCAACTGATGATGTGCTATACGAACGCAATTCCCTTTTCTTAATTCTTAATTAAAGCAGCAAGTGAAATTTATTGTGTAATAGATGGCAATGAATTAATATATGAATGTAGAAGCCTGAATATGAAACAAAGAAAAGCACTCCATTATATAATATATACAGGGTGTGTGGGTGGATACATCTGTTTACCTCATATCACGGAGACAGTCCACAGCATATTCTCTGACATACTGGTCAGGGTAGTTGAAGTCCAGAAGCTCCAGAGCATCTCTGGGACTCAGTCTGGGCCAGATCTGAAGCAGTGCCTGGAGCTGAGACACACATACCAGTACAAATGCTCAGAAGCTGATACACAGATGTTTAATCGGCATTACATCCATAGAGTGCTTGTGGAGCTCAGTAAATAAAATTATAAAGAATATGATTACCCTTGAACACAGTATTCTTTCTTGTTCAAAATCATCCATCTTTATTGGCCAGATATGTTGAACACACGATAAATTTGTATATGATCATATACATGCAGTTTAGATGAAAGTTTCCAGATAGATATATACAAAAGTATATTTACAAGGTATTACACTGAGGGTTGTCGTTCTGTTATACAGTTATGGGTTAAGTGTTCATCAGCATGATGGCCTGGGGGAAGAAACTGGAAAGCCAATCTACCCAACATTAGACATTAAATGGCCGGAAATGTGCCTGTCACAGGCTCTTTAAGAGAGCCACTCTTCTCATATGTGTTTCCTTAAACGTATCACCGCAGTCATAGGTTGCATCACTGGCGGGG